TAAATCAGATTTAATTATATAATATTTAAATTAATAATATAATTATTAAAATTGTATAACTGGGCCCATTTAAGCGACCAAAGTTGGTCAGTATCTGCCTACCCTTTAAGTAGCGACCAACGTTGTTCGCTATTTTTATATTATATATATTTATATTTTATAATATTTTTAAAATAATAATATAATTATTAAAATTTTGTAGGTGAGTCCCACTTTAGCGACCAACATTGGTCACTAATCTCAGTAAATGTTTGACCAAGAAAGTCTGACCAGTTCAGTCAACATTTTGACTAATATAGCAACCAAGTAGCGACCAACCTTGGTCGCTATTTTGTTTCTTTTATTTATTTTATTATTTTCGCTAGTTTAGCGACCAACTTTGGTCGCTTTTTCCCACAGATCAATTTTGGTGGCTAAATTTTGGTCGCTTTTTTCCGGATTTCTAGTAGTGGGGGTCTGGGGAAGAACCGGACCATAAGAGTCTATTGTACACAGTCTTACCGGTTTACATTTCTGCAAGAGAGTGTTTCCACGACTTAAACCCGTGACCTACGTTTCACCAAAGAAAAAGAGAGGAGACATAAATATAGCATAAGTAAATGATAAAGCTGATGAGGCCTATTGCATCAAAAATTAAGTAAATTAAGAAACCAGTATCACTTGCTCTGCCATTGTTAATTACACAATGAAATCATATATGAACCGCAGAGACCTGATTACTTGAACAAGTCTATTCCTAGCTACTGTTCTAACAATTCTAAGCTAAGCTAGATAATTCATATTTCTCTTTTCTATTTACAGCTGGCGAATTCGTACATTCAATTCCTACGGGATATGAAATATATAAGAATTTCTTCTCAATATCAATCCTTTGATAAAGCAAGAGACGACTAGGGCCACAGAATTCTGCGGCGAATCCATTTTTTTAATGCATAATATCTTGTGGTGCAATCAGTCGTGCCAGCAAAGTAGCATGACTACGCATCTTCTCACAATGTAAAGTCTTCCTCTTTGCTCCTTGAGAAACTTTCCTAATTTTCTACTTGACATCCTCTTCTTAGAGTTACCATCCTTAGCTCCAGTGCTTCCCTTCATCTAAAATTGAAAATTAATTGCACTCAAATATGAATGAGAAACAAATTCTAGGTTTTTAGTGTGCCAAGAATTGTAGAATGAAGTTTTGGTGAGAAGTGGAAGGAGGAATAATAGAAGGTCTTCTTTTATAGTAGAAGACTAAGGTGCGTGGTCCAAGGCATGCAATATTCAGCAACTTAAGAGGAAGGACATTGCATTGAAACATGGACCCCATTGGTTGGCCATATAAGAAAAGCTTTCCCAATTTCTTAGAAAGATTTTTTCTTACTGTGTTTTGTTGTAATTTTCTTATTATAATTTTTATAACCTCATGCCAATGCACCAACAATATCAATTCTTATAGAAAATTTGTAATCAAGGCGATTTACCAAAAAATAATTACTAAAGGCGGATTGTTACAAAAAATAGCCGGTCAGATTCACTATTTACTTTTTGTAGCTGGTATATATCGATTATACATTAATTATACATAATTATACATGCATTATATATGTATTTTACACATTATACATCCACCCGCTATTTTTAATGTAAGAAATTAGTGAACGTCTATTTGAGTTAATTCTTCAATTTTCTTTTTTCTTTTTCATGTTTAAGGAATTCATTTTCATCCTTCTATTATTGGCAGTAGGAATCCCATCAGTCAAAGCTCACTCCCTAGACTCACAGGTACTTCAACTGCTCAAGTCGTACACTGTGGTCAAGATTCAACAACATCAACTATTTTATTAACATCAAATCTAAGGAGTTGTGATTCAGAAAGGCAAGAGGCACAAAAATATTCAAATTCATATTAAATTATTCATGAATAATAACCTTCATTCGGTCATTCCTACCAAATATGGCTTTTTATAAGGAGCATGTCACCTTGAACAGGGCAATTATTTAACATGTCCCATCTTTTGCTCCTGCAGATAACTCTCACTAAGCAGCATCCATTGTCTAACCTAGTGCTCGTGTATGTTACCAGGCCACATTTATTTTTGACAACCAATTGCAAGCGGTTATTTTAACCACAATTGTTAAAATGGTCCTTTTCCATGTCTATACACTAACCAAAAAATCAACCACAGTGTTTTTAAGATCAAAAAAAGAAATATCTAGAGAGTATTCTAGACGCAGCACATCAATTTGGTTAGCTAATAAATCATTTTCTTATTGTTATGAGGAAGAGTCCTTTTTTTTTTTTGTGGTGCTGAGAGAAGCCTAAATCTAGACTGCTGTCATTCTGTCTATGTCCTTGTATTTCTCCCTTTTGTTTCTAATTTCCTAATGTGAAACTGTTCTTGATACTAAGTCGAGAGAACAGTTCGGACCCTGCTCACTCGTCAATATCAACCACACACACAAAAAAAAGTGTTACGAAAATGACATTTGATACATCCAAAAGGTGCGACCTAACAGCCAATGAAGCGAGTGAAAATCATAAGACTATTGTTCCGAGAGACAAAAACCTACTAGATTCTTTTTTTTTTCCATCAGCTTAAGTTTTGGTAGACAAAACCACTTGACACATGTGCGAGCCAAATGCGAGATATCTAGTGAAATAGTCAAAGTATACACAAATTAGATCTAACACCATGTAACTTAGAAAAAGAAAAACAAGAGTTTGGGAATCAATGTTCAAGTAAGTACGGACTATAGCATGGAAAAGAAGGTAAGGAAAAGGAAACATGAGAGATGAGGAGACAAGGCAGATTAAATTGCACTCTCAAGTCCACAAGTGGTTGTGGGGTATGAAAATGTGGGATAGGTTTTGGTCCAGGGATTCCAATCTGGTTTCTTAAGTATGTAGCAGAAAAAGACACACTTGTACTGTAGAAAGGAGGACATGTTCGCACGTGAGTCGTGACCTTCCAGTTAATATGATAGACATGTTTCTCATCTTACATTATTGTAGCAACCTTAGTTTAGCCCGTTGTTAATGTTGGATTAAGGAAGATTATCAGATTGGAATATTTTATATGATAATCAAAATATTTAATTTTCTAGGAGAATGTGGATATTAATTCTTTAACTGTATCTAGAGGAAACTGACTAAAAAGTACTAAGGATAACAACTACTATGATTAAAATATTTTAAAAATATTTGGAGAAAATTGTCGAAGGTACTCTTAGCCCAAAATGCTTCAGTCTTGATCTTATGGCTACATAAACATGGGTTGATCTATTTGGACAATCTACTGGGCTTAACAGATTTAGGCCCGTTAATACATTCACAGATTCTGCTAAAAACGAAAAGTGATGAAGAGAAAAAAGCCCAAAAAAATAGGAAGCGCCGTTGCCGGGGATCGAACCCGGGTCACCCGCGTGACAGGCGGGAATACTTACCACTATACTACAACGACCTTGCTGCAAAGTTATTCAATGGTATATAATATATAGATTGCCAACTGTTCACACGGAATTCTGCTCGAAAGTAGCTGATAAAAACTTCCATTATTAAAACGAAATTCTACTTTACCTACAGGCTACAACCATGCAGCATATTTTTAGGGAGGATTTCATAGATGAAATAAGCAAATGCAAGACAAAGGAGTCGGGATGGATCATTCACATAGCTTTGAAATCTTTGATAAAACTTAGTGGCGGCGGCTAGCTGCATCTTTGTTTTCTTCTTTAAAGTCCTTTAATGTTTTTGTTTATTTCTTTAATATATTAAGTACTTCTTCTAGCTGAAGTTATCCTGCTGTCTTTCAAATTCAAGAATTCAAGGATTACAGCAAAAGTAGACGTAATTAACAATATGCGTATCGGGAACTTGGAAGTTGAAGATAGCGAGGAATTGAAAGAGTAATATAATTAAGAGATTAAATCTAATTCTTTAATCATTCACGACTTTAATTATTCATAGTCCCTGTGATTCATTATTCATGCATGTATGTATGGAATAATTCAAGGATATTCTTCCATTATACTCCTCTTCACAACAATCTAGAAAAATCTGACACAGAAATCTAAAACAAAACTAATATTGGAAAGGTAAGTCACCTAAAATCAGAGAGGCAAGATCGAGCATAGATTTCAGTGAATGCTTTAGAAATGATTAACTGGAGGTGGGAGTTTCAGATCACTTCTTAACTTAAAATACTCTCTTTTAACTTCATTAATAATTGGCTGCATAATGAAAACATAGGCGGAGCCAGATTTTCAAGTTTATGAGTTCAGAATTTTAATTGTTTTAAGTTACTAGGTTCTAAAATAACAATTTATACATATTCAATAATTTTTTAAAGACAAATACATGGTTCGAACCAAAGCTACATAGATTCAACAGAACCTGCACTCGGCTCTCTACCTCCGCCCTTGATTTTGGTTAATTCAAGGAATAAAACACATTTTGTAAAATTATACATATGATAATGGTGCCAATGTCTTGGTTAAGATTTGAATATATATTTCCAAGCCTAATTAGTCTGAAAAAGTTACTTAATAATAAGAAGAGATCGTTCATACTTAAAATATGATGATACATATACAAAAATAAGGATATTTGAGTGATAGAAAATTCACCATACTAGCTAGTTATTGTTGAAACAGAAGAAGAAGAAGAAGCATCGAAGCAGATGCGGATGTTGACACAAAAGAAGCATCCAAACAGACCAAACACAATTGCCTCTTGCAATCTAACCTTGACCGTTAGATTAAAA